TCTCTCTGTACATCCTCCCACACTAAAGAAGCTTAGTCGCCTACAGCATCCCTAATCTCATTGTGCCGTACAGTTAAGAGACCACCTTTTTTGCACGCTAACGCATGCCGTAGGGTGAATGGTGACTGGCAACCATCACAAAAAGTTGGAAAAGCGATCAAGTTTTTGTTATACCGGACACTCAATGCATCCCGAAACTCCATTTCCGAAAGATCAAATCATTTCTGTCTTAATATACAGGAAATCCCTTTGTGAAAAAAACCAAAAGACCCAGTTTTCTCTAATTGTGTTTTTTAATTTTACAGTTCAAACAGATTTTTGAAATTAAATCAAATTTTTGAAATCCAAAGAATTTTGACGTGTTAAAATTTTAAAAAATTGAGGAGTGATCAATTTGCTGTGCAATTTTTTTGAGTTGAATTAAACTTTTCCAACTTTGTTGGTTTTGTTCTTTTTATAAAAGAAGAGTTTTATAAGGCACTTTATGTTTGATGTTTTGCAAGAAAAGTTTGGCTTCAAATACATGGGCATTGATACACTATAACTTAAAAAGTTTGCCAGTCAGGTTTTGATTTTGGGCATTGTAAAATTGTCGAAACTATAACGCGGAATTTTTTGAATAGTCAAGTTGCATCTGACCAAATAGTTAGATTCAGATACACTGTACTAATTACATTGCTTTGGTCACGTTTTCATTTTGGGTCGAACACAACTTTTGAAACTTCCTTCCTGATCAATTTTGACAAAATTTGTTGATTTTTTAAAAACTTATTGTTCAAACTTAATGCAAGGAAGAGAAAATGCAGTATTCGGTAAATTTGAGAATAAATTTCGTTTGAATAAAAAAATGTGGAGGGTCAAGTGGGTTATCATTTTAAGGAAAAAACTTTAGAATTCAAGATTCAGTTAAGATTCAGTTTACGAAAAGAAGGAGCTTTATCCATAATTTAATATTTACACTGTCAGACATATGAACGTGTCAAAAGTCAGTTAATCAATCAATTTTTAGCTCAAACTTAGCTGATTTGCTATAGATTTCTGTAAGCATTCCGGCTCATTTATCTGAAAAACATAGCTTTAGAACGTGCTGTAAAAGTAATTATAACAAAATTATTATTTGTTAGGAAAAACTTTTTGACTACTTGTAATTCAATTGGCCAAATGAAATTGGATATACCAATCAAAGCAGAAACTTCTATCTAACTGCAATGCAATAAAACACTGACCTAAAATGTAGACACTGATACAATGTAATTTTGAAAGTACTCTGGCCAAGCATTGATTTTGGGCATTGTAGATTTGTCGAACTTGTAACGAGCAAAGTATTGAATATTAAAGTTGCATCTGAAAAATGTGACTGAAAAAAGTTAGATTCTGCTACACTGTGTTAATTACAATACTTTAGTTAAGTTTCAATTTTTGGGCTGAACTTTTTTTGAAAATTTTTTTTTTGATCTTCTCGCTGAAATTTTGTTGAATTTTGTTTTCCAAACTTCCAGTTCAAATTTGTTGTAAAGGAAGGAACTATGCCGTAGTCTTAAGTTTTTTTTTTAGATTTCGTTTAAATCAAAAAGTTTTTGCGGATGATCAAATGGGGTATCATTTTAAGGTAAAAGTCTTATAAATTTACACTGATTTGATTTTGGCGGTTTCTTTTTGATATGGTTTTAATTTCAGTGTAACTTTTTCATTCAGAAGGCACGAAAAGAGGTTCGTCAATAAAAAAAATGACAACGGCGTAAAAATTTTTTTTAAGCATCAGCGGATTGAAATGGGACGCCTCCCCCTTATCTATTCAATCCCCTGACAACCCAAAGAATCCCCCTGTGTTACCATATCAGAATTTGCCATTTTTGCTGATTGGTGTATTATTTTTTAAAGCTGCCCTTAGTTTTAATAAATGCCTATTTTGAGGTTAGAGCGCGCGCCGATCTAGAAAAATAGGTCAAAATAGGTCAAATCTGAATAAAAATTGACTACTTTTTGAAAACAAATCATCCAAATTCTTGATATCCGAATATTTTTTAACGTGATGAACAATGATTAATTTTATGAGCAATTTTTTTGTATTAGATTACAGGTTTCTAAATTTGTTGCTTTTGTTCTTTGTTTAGATACAAAATATAAGTTACTCAAGCAAACTAAGCTAATTGTGGTTTAGCAAGTAAAACCACACGATTAGGCCAGAAAATTAGCGCATTAAATATTCAACTTATGACAACAAGAAGCCTTATTTATACTTTAGTGATTGTTCCTTCAATCAAATAAACGCGTCAGAAGTCAGTCGATGGCTCAAATGGTAGCACAAAAAAGTTTCATTCAAAATGGATTTCTCTAAGTTTTGCGGCTCGTTGCTGTAAAAGTAACTACAACAAAATAAGAAAAACTTCAGATTTTTAAGAAAAACTTTTATTGGATTGACCAATTAAAACAATTAAAAAAGATGAAAACATTCAAACTTGAAATATTCAGATAACTGAAATGCAATAAAAATTGACATTATTTAAAAATAAGAAAATTTGGACAAGCACTGATTTTGGGCCTTGCAGATGTGTTTGTCGAATCAATAAAGGGGAGAATTTCGAAAATTATTGTTTATCAAAGTTTTGGCTGAATAAATAGTTAGATTCTGATACACTGTATTGTTTACTTTATTTGGGTCAAGTTTGATTTTAGCCCGAAGATTTTTTTAAACTTAATTCCTGGTCACTTTTGCCAAAATCTTGTTGAGTCATGTTTTCGAAACTTCAATTTTTGTGTAAGGAAGACACTATGCCGTAGTCTGAATTTTTTTTTTAAATTTGGTTTCCTTAAAAAGAATTTTTTGAATGGTCAAGTTTGGCATCATGTTAAAGTCCTTTGATTGTTTTCGCGAGTCATACAATTTTTACTGAAGCTTCGCTTAGTCTAAAACAATTTTTCACATATTTTCAGTTTTTCAAAGATTAATTTCAATGCACCAAATCTATTTGAAATTTAACAACCTTAATTTTAATTCTTCAATTATTTTTTTTCACTAATAGTTGTAGTCAAAACAATTCCTGCTTATCTGCAAAGCAACATTGTAGACAGTTGTTTTAGATTTGATGCTTTTAAACACGCATAAAAAACTTTTTGTTTTGTATGTCAAAAGTATAACTCTTTATCTCAAAAAAAATTCATGGAAATGGAACTTAATATAAAAAACGGCAATCTATCGAGTAGCTAACAACAATTCTATAAGCTTAAAACTTTTTATATAATAAAATTTTTATCGAAATTTTTCATAAATCGATGCGCAAATATCAATTATTTGCAATTGCAATTCGAAAAAAATGGCGATTGCAATTTGATTAATCTGAATAAAAGTTTACTACTTTTCGAAGCTCGCAATTGCAGTTTGATTAACCTAACTAATAGTTGACTACTTTTTGAAGAAAAACCAACCAAATTTGTGGGATCCGAGGAGTTTTAAAGTGATGAAATTTTAAGAAACCGAGCAATGAATGATATTATATTCAAATTTTGTTTAAGATGGTTTACATATTTCCAACTTTGTTGGCTTTGTACTTTCTGGGCCTACAAACATGTACGCTAAGTAGACAATCTATGACAAATTGTGAACTAGCAAGTAAACCACAGAGTTAGGACAAAAAATTGGCGCATTTAAGATTCAACTTAAGGAAATAAGGAGCTTTATTCATACTTTAGTGATTCCGCGTAAAAAAATCAGGTGAACACTTCAGAGATCAGTTGGTGGCTCAAATCATAGGTCGAAAGTAACTCATTCGACAAAATTTTCTGCAAGTTTTCACGCTCATTCATCTGAAAAACATTACTGAAGGACGTGCTAGAAAAATAACCATAGAGAAATGAAAAAATTTTTTCAAAATTTTCAAAAAGTTTTCTTTCAATCGATCATTTAAAAAAGCTAAAGTTATTCAAAGGTGAAACATTCAGATAACTGAAAGGCAAAAAAAGGATGGCCTAAATTAGATAGGCACTGATAAACTGTAATTTAATTTTTTTTTTATTTTGGGCCTTGTAGATTTGTCAAATCTGTAACGCGGAAAACTTTGAAAATACCTTGCCTATAAGAACTTTGGTTGAATAAATAATTAGATTCTGATACACTGTATTTTTTACTTTATTTGGTTCAAGCTCTGATTTTATGCCAAAAACTTTTCGTAACTTGCTTCGTGGTCACTTTAGCCGAAATCTTGTTGAGTCAAGTTTAGATGTTCAAGATTTTTATTTGCTTTTTGATTGCTTCTTCACTCGATTTTCTTCTTTTTTTCAGTACTGCAATTTTCAATTTAAACGGATGGGTTGTAATTTTGTGGAATGTTTTTCTAAGAAAACTAAACAGTGATTAATTCTTAAATTAAGAACGAACAACTTTTTTTTGAAAAACTTCCTTCAAATGCTGCATAAAATTTTAAAGTGATGTAATTAGCGTCTAGCAATGTATTGATAACTGCAAGTAGCTCGTTGTAAAAATCGTGCTAACGGCTTTTTAAAAATCTGGTAGGTAGCATAACGCGCATTAATCATCCCAAACTGATCAAATGGACATTTTTAAAATTATTTCCCAAGAAATGATTCCAGGTAAATGCCTTTTAAAATTTGAGCTCAGTTTGTCAATATTTTTTTGATGTTTGTAAGAACTCGGTTCTAAAGTTCCTAGTTAAAAAGTAGAAAATTATACGAAGAAAAAAACCACACCGAGCATTAATGCTCTATCCTTTCTTTGAAACTCGGAACAACAAGAAAAAACTAGATCATCTACTCAAGCCCAAATAATTAGAGGATATTGTGGTAATTTCAGAATTGATAAGTTTAATCTCAGAAGTTCCGATTAATTTTTGTTTCAAGAACTGACCCATTTATTTGCGATTAACTTTGGGACTAACGAATGAATACTTGAGCCAATTTAACAGTTTCGCAAGAGAATTGAAGCAGCAATTTCTATTTTCCTCAAAATAATTGGTTTTCTATTCTGACAGTTATATGCAGGTTAACAAGAGACGTCAAAAGTTCAATTTATAGTTTAATTGTTACAGCATTCAAAATTAAAGCATATTTCCGAACTATTTTAGACCTATGCGAGAATGCAGGTTTTTAAGACAGTTCTTTTTGCCAGCTTTTTTTCATATCGAGGTCCAATCCTATTGGCTGGTGTTTGTCCTAAATTTAGGCCGGCGATTCACATTGCCATATCAGCAGCTTAAAATGGTTAAAATCCCATGCCTAGGTTACGAACTCGTTTTTTACCCTGCTCGCGCTTTGCTAAGTCGAAAAGGTGTCCTCGTTTTTTGAGGATGTTTCCCAATTCTTGTGAGAAATATATGTTGCTCATCTGAGGTGGGATTTGAGACATGACGTCATTGTACATTGAAGGAGTTATTTGCGCCTCGAGATCGATCGGAGATTCGGCTGGCATTATGTGTTCGTTCGGGCTTTCCCACGACTTAAACAGTTGCGTGTATGGTCTGTATTTCGGGTTGTACGGATAACTATCAGCCCAACCGGGAAAATTTACTGATGGACCCTAAAACAAACATGAGTGAAAAAATGAAACAAGAACGCATAATTGCTATTTTAATGCGACATTCGTCCATTTCTGAAAACTTCCCCGGGTTGACCTCCATAGACCGAAAATGCTAATCATACAATTTCATACTCTTAGTCTATGGAAAAATGCTAGTCAGACAAATTTCATAAATTTTTTCAAAATGAGTTTAATCAAATTTCAAAGGTGTTTTATAGTTGTTTTGGTATCGAAATTGGTATCTCTTCATAAAAAAAAGGAAAAAAAATGGTATGAAAAAAATGCTACCCATACAATTTCCGTATATGGAAATTGTATGATTAGAATTTTTTTTTAAATTTTTTTTGTGAAAAAAAAGCTTTGAACAATCAATTCAACTGCTGGCAAAACATTTAAGCATTTTTTGGGCTGCTACGACTGAAAACTTTAACTTTTTTTTTTTCTAAAAAAAAACACTAGTCATACAATTTCCATATATGGAAATTGTATGACTAGCATTTTTTGATGGCGACGACAAAAATTTTAGAAATTGCCCCCAGAAAAGTATTTTTGAAATTGCCCCCAAAAAATTTTTGTGTTTTTTTTTTCAAATGCAAATTGATTTTCGTATTCAAACAAACATTTTTTGAAAAAAAAACTTTGCATGCAAAATTTAATTTTTTGTGTATATAACGTAGTCCTGGATATACTAATATTGGATTTTTTTTCCTTTTCTCTTCGTAACTTTTTTCAAAAACGCTTAAAACTCCTCTTTCTTTTGTATGACATGTTTTTGTATGCCTTGATCATGTCTGGTAATTTAAACATTCAAATTTTAGAAATAATCATCTTTGCAAATTATTGCCAAAATTTAAAAGTTCACTGCTTTCGTTATGTTAATTGTCTGAGACAGAAGTAACACATATCAGGCTGTTTTCAATGCATTGTTAATGCGAGACGGCGAAACCGTTGGTTACTACGTTTGAGTAATCAAGGTTCATGTCATTTGTGTTCGGTTACGAACACAGCCAATAAATATTGAGAAATTAAAATGTAAAAAATCAAAATTTTTGGTTTATGGAAAAATGCTAGTTATACAATTTCCATATATGAAAAAAATACTAATCATAGACCTTTCATGCAATTTTCTGTACGAATGGAATTGCATGGAAAGTGTATGACTAGCATTTTTTCATATATGGAAATTGTATGACTAGTATTTTTGGTCATCCCGGGTCTCTTCATATAGGACAATTTGAATTATACGAAGATTATTCCGAAGAAAGTCTCGTAATTTTAACGAAAAAAGAACTTTTGATTTTAAAAAAACGCCCTAATAAAAAACTAACGAAATCTTTATTTGGCTCTTTTCCAGTCCCCCTTTATTTTTTTCTAAAAGTCAATGTATGAAAGTCTATTTAAAACAACTTTTCATGTCATAAATTGCATTGAAACAGGTCAGCGTGAAAGGTGAACAAACTTTTACAACAAGCCTTACGTGTAAATTGCCGTGTGAACAATTTTTGAGCAGCTTTTTCGCAATTTTATGAGAGGGTTGGGAAACTGGTAAACTTGAATGGAAAGCGGAAAAACTCTTCAGCTCGTTCACGCCCCCGTGAAATCGTTACTACTCTGCACCTCATTTTTCATGAACATTTTAGATGCCTTCTTGAAAAATGTCCAACAAATTCTTAAAAAACTATCGGTAGTCGGGAGCCATAAGCTATTGTTTGATGTGGAGAAGTTGATTCCAATTTCGAATTGGAATCAGTTATAGAAATAGTTAGGCGAATTCAGGCGTTTATCGACTACATGACAGCTTGCATCAAAAAGCTGACAATAAATCAGCATTAGTTAACTTCCACTTACATTCTTTTCTTATGGCAATCAAAGGAAATGCCAAAAATAAAAAATGTCACTTGGTGTTTGACTTCAAAAGCCAAATTGAGGTTGATTGGGAAAATGAGATAAAATTATATTGAAAAAAATATCCTTTACATCTATCTTTATACAAAAATATCGCAGAAAGTAAAAACAGCTTTTTTGAAAATTTTATCGTGAATAAAGCCCAATACAACTTGTAATGACACAATGATGTGAATCGGTATTCTCATTTTTGTAAAGTTTGATGAAAATAATGAATTTGTCAAATTCAAAAAAAAGAAAACAAAATCGCGTATATACAAAACAGTCCCATACAAAACAGTCCCATACAAAACAGTCCAATACAAAACAGTCCGGAAAAGTTTGAAAATGAACGAAAAAACGAACCGATACAAAAAGTGCGAAAAACAGTCCCAATTATTAATTGTTTCAACAAGCCGGCAGGCCGAGAACTGTCCTTTGTTCAACAGACATAATGAACAAAATAGTGACCGGCGCAGTCGTGCCAACGTGTTGCGAGCTTGCAAACAGAGGGTTGGACTTAAAACTTTTCACTTCCACTATTATAACAGCACAACCTTTCTTTGTTGAAACTTTTAACCGAAGCTTGACGGGACTCACTGGTTCGTGACTGCAATCGCCTGTTCCCGACTGCACTCACTAGTACATCGCAGCGGGCTCTCTGGAGTTATCGCTTCAAAAAGGAAAAACTGGATTTTTAGGGAGTTTTAATCGATAATTCTTAATACTCAAAAATCCATCATAATTCACTAGAATTGATTATAATCCAGTTTTTATTAAAATATAATTTTTTTTTGCTCTTTAAATCCACAAAAAAAAAGATTATTATTTCCAAATATGAATTGTTTACTCTGCTTTTTGCAGCACCTTCTGCGAACTAAAACCCGAAGAAACATATTCATCTAGGTCTAGGTGTACCCTTCCCCAACTTTAAGGCCATCAATTCCCCCTCCCACACACCCCACCACACTCCATTCCAGACCAAACTCCCCAACCACCAAACATCATTCCAGACCACCCAACACACACACACACACACACACTTCCACCCCGACCCCGCATCCCCCACTCACGTTTCACCCTTATCATCTCCCCCAGTTTATCGTTTATCGAAGAAATAACTTGAAGAGGAAAAAAATAATTGTGGAAAATGTGGAAAATAAGGAAAACAGAAAATTAATTTTCTCAGCCAAAATATGCTTCATCTTATAATTTTCCTGGAAAAACGTGCGGTGAATCAAAAGCAACAGCGAACTTGTGAAAAAACTGTAAAGTGTTACAATTTTCAAAATAACTATAGAAAAAAACTTAAATAATCCATGATAATCAATTATAGTCGATTAAAATGGATTAAACTGACATGTCAAAAAAATTATACTCCATTTTTGATTGGCTATAAATAATTATTTTTCACTTTTTTAGAGACTGATATTAAAAAAACATAATGAGATTGATTATTTTTCATGAAACATCAGTGCGGGTAGAACAAAACAAACACAACTTACAAGAATCATCGCATAAAACAAAAGCATCATTTTTTTCACTTCCCTCTAGAAAAACCATCGCTATCTTATCAAGAGTTCATGTAGGTCACCATACTTCACGAAAGTTTAAAATTACTATGCACACAATTACATGGCAGATTTAGGAACTACAATCCTTTTTATCGTGTCTTCTTTTTCTGCCCACTTTCATATCCAGAAAGTAATTTTTATCATTCCTCATCCTCATACACAGATAAATCCCATCGAAAAAAAAATTCAAACAGCGCTGCAAAATTCAACCAATTACTTGTTTTCAAAAGTTTTAGCAAAATCATTTCACTTCTTTGCATTTGATCCAACTATCCACAAATTGAAAAAGCTTGCATGTTTTTTGGTCTTGCCCATAAAAAGATAAAATAAATCAGCCACTCAACCGCTCAAAATCAATTTTATTCTAATGATTTCTTCCTTCAAACAAAAATTTACTAGATTTTTTGACGAAGCTACTTAACTTGGGCAAGACAGTTTTTCAGATTCAAGAGAATTTTGCACGAAAAAAAAATTAGTTTCAAATTGTAACTAAATCTTTGTTTTCCCTTTGTGTTAACCCAGAAAGGAATGACAACTACCGCTTTCGAACGCCACTAAGTCACATCATTAAAAGTTGAGATGAAAAAGACGCATTTTAAAAACAAAACCTCTAAAACAATAATTGCATTTTTCTAAAAAAGATTTACATTTCCTTTACCGTTGATAAAAACACTGAGGGAAAAGAACAAGAAAAACGAAATAAAACAGCCAGTTTTCTTGAATAAACTCCCCTCAAAATATCCTCACGACTGGCCTCGCTCCAGTTAAAGCTGTCTTGAGTATGCTCTTTAGCCGCTTTGTCCTACCGTATTTTTCCCACCCCTAATGGTCTGACAAACCGGATCCCTTCGCTGAAGCTTCCATTCCCTCTCAGCAACGTGTTTCCGCAGTTCAAAAATCATCTTTTCAACCCCTGGACCTATTGTTTTGTTGGTTGGTAATAAGGACAGAAAATCTTGTATACTTGCCCCCTCAGAATTTGCAACTTTTTTTAGGTCGACCAAATTGATTTTCCGAGATCTCGCAAAGCAATAAACAGAACCTGGTTCGGTCAAATTTTCTGCGCCGCGGGCTAAATTTTGAAAAAGCATTTTTAGGCACTTTTTGGAAAACTTTGATCGAAAAATCGCTTTTTTTCAGCGCGCGCTACCCCCTCAAAAATTTGTATTTATTGGCGCGCAAGGCGCCTATAGAAAAATTTTAGGGTACCTCACCAAAAATAGATATCTTAAAATAGTACAAAAGGGGCCTTTTGGGTCGGCAAAAGCTCGAAGCCCCCCTCCCCTCCAAATCCGCTACTGCCCAGCACTATATACTTTTTGAGGAAATAAACACCCAAACCACCCAATCATCCTGACTGACTTCCTTACCAGTAGCGGATTTAGGGAGGACGCCCCCTCTTCTCGGGTATTCGACCCCTGCTGATCCAAAGCCCCCGTTTTACTAATTTAGAATATCAATTTTTGGCTGAATCACCCTTTTGGCTGAAGATTTTCTAAAGGTGCCTTGAGCGCACGAGAGGGGAGAACGCGACGAAAATTG